TTGCAACATATGCAACATCAGATCTACTTTTGCAATATCCAAATGAAATATATGCAACCTACATCTGAAACGCATGAAACATACGGTTATGTGTGCTCATCTACTTGCTACCGTCCAATAGAGGCTCGTTGACGCGGAGCTCGACGTCGGTGCGAAGCTCAATGCCACGGGGTGGAGGTCGCCCACGGTCCATGGACGGGAGGCGCAAGGTGCGGCGGAGTGCAACGCAAGGCGTGTGGCGTGGCGGCCAAGCCAGCAGCGAGGCACGAGGCGTGGGGGGTGCGCAGTCCGTCCCGTCCAACCGTCTCGACGCTTCGGTGAGAGAGCATTACCAAAAAAGAGAAAAAACATATATGGGCTAGGCTACATGAGAAATAAATGCCCCATAGCTCATGATTTAATCTTGCTGCACCAAATTGGAGTAATAAGCAAGATAAACGTGAAGCGGGGGATAAAAGGAGTATAAGCAAGTTGATGATCACAAATAGTTGAATGCATTGTTGGATGCAGACTCTAATAAGGACACTCACCAAAAGGAGCGTAAAGATTGTGCCCCAAAGAAATGATGTGGAGAAGAAAAAGAGAGAGATTGCATCGTCTCTTCGTGAACCCATGCAATTTATGAATTATTATGAACATTATTATACTATGCTTTGCATGAACAATCTATGAACTTCCTACTTCTTTCCTCTTGAAAGTAATCAACTTTCCCGTTTGATTTTCCCTTCAATTCTACCATGTCGCCTATCTTCGCAGTGGGTCTCGCAGATTCGCTTAGGCCAGCCAGATTGGCTCGTATGGTCGATAATAGCGTAGTATTATTATGCTAGTTTATTAGGTGTATCTTTAACCGAACCACCAAGTATAGATGTCCATCGGGCCAGCCCGCCTGGTCCGGCGACGGGCCGTGCTGCTAGCACGACCGATGGAGGTCGGTAAGCAAGACGGCAAGACATCGTGCCTCCCGGGCCGTGCCTAACCAATGCCCTGCACGGCCTGTTGGGCCAATTTTCGGGCGGTCGGCCTAGGAAGCACGACTGCGAGCGTGACGACGGCTAGCTCAAAGCCCACATCGCAGTGGAGCCGTGGGGGAGCGCCGCCGCCAACCGCGCGGAGGAGCCGAGGGTCGAGGCCACGTGAGGTAGAGAGGGAAGAGGAGGCGCCAACCGCGCGGAGGAGCCGAGGGCCGAGCGAAGGAAGAAGAGGAGCGCGAGATGGGGCGAGCGAGTTCGTCTGGCGCGCATCGGGAAGGAGGAGGAGGACTCACGAGTCACACGGTGGGGAATGGGATATCCGTGATCGTGGGCCGAGATAGTCAACGACTCAATGAGCAGCCTACTTGTTAAAGATAAGATGTTGGGTTGTGGTGAGTTGTTGGGCCGTAGATGAATTAGCTTGCTACCGGGCGCCACCGAGCCTCTTGTTGTAGGTCCGGGTCAGTCTGGTCGGTACATCGTGCTCGGGTAAGGCACGACACCGCTACTCCGAAGTTATACCACCCCGGCCCGTCGTCACCGGAACGGACCGTGCTTTCGGACCGGCTAAAATGTAGGCTTCAGACGGCAGCCGCAGTGCTACGGGCTGCATGCACACCTATAACTATGGATGAAAACGGTACGGATATTTATTCGACCGTCCGTTCGACCGAACAAATATGAACACTTATCTGGATAGTTACTCGGATATCCGTTTTTTTTTCGGATACGGATACTAAAACGGATATCTTAGGCGGATATCAAATACGGATGTAATATCATCGATATCCGGCGGATATCGGATAATCCGGATAAGTATCGGATATATCCGGATATTTAAAAACGGATATTATCCGGATATTTATTCAAAATTTAAAAATCACAAATTTGAACCATCCAAACTATCTCAAATGGAAAGTTGACCAAAACAAGAATTGTAGATCTTGATGAGTTGAACAAACTTGGTATTCAAAACTTTTCAATTTGAAGTCATTTAGAGTTCATAATACTAGAGTCAAAGTGTTGTTTTTTCATTTGACCAAATTTGACTTGGTCAAACTTGCTCAAATGAGACACTAAATGACCTCAGATGAAAAAACTCTGAATACCAAGTTTGATCATCTCAGCAAGATCTACAATTGTTACATAGCTCATTTTCCCATTTGAGAAAGTTTTATCAAACACTAGTCATAAATTCTTGAATCTCATATAGACTTTTCTGAAACTATGTCACACACTTGTGAAATTTGAACTATATTTTGTTCAAACTTTCTCAAATGAAAAAATAGCCTATATAAGGATTGTATATCTTGATGAGATGAACAAATTTGGTATTCAAAACTTTTCAATTTGAGACAATCTAGGGTTCCGAAAACTAGTTTGTAAACGTTGAAATTTAAAAATCACAAATTTTAACCATCCAAACTATCTCAAATGGAAAGTTGACCAAAACAAAAATTGTAGATCTTGATGAGTTGAACAAACTTGGTATTCAAAACTTTTCAATTTGAAGTCATTTAGAGTTCATAATATTAGAGTCAAAGTGTTGTTTTTTCATTTGACCAAATTTGACTTGGTCAAACTTGCTCAAATGAGACACTAAATGACCTCAGATGAAAAAACTCTGAATACCAAGTTTGATCATCTCAGCAATATATACAATTGTTACATAGCTCATTTTCCCATTTGAGAAAGTTTTATCAAACACTAGTCACAAATTCTTGAATCTCATATAGACTTTCTGAAACTATGTCACACACTTGTGAAATTTGAACTACATTTTGTTCAAACTTTCTCAAATGAAAAAATAGCCTATATAATGATTGTAGATTTTGATGAGCTGAACAAACTTGGTATTCAAAACTTTTCAATTTGAGACAATCTAGGGTTCCGAAAACTAGTTTGTAAGCATCGAAATTTAAAAATCACAAATTTGAACCATCCAAACTATCTCAAATGGAAAGTTGACCAAAACAAGAATTGTAGATCTTGATGAGTTGAACAAACTTGGTATTCAAAACTTTTCAATTTAAAGTCATTTAGAGTTCATAATACTAGAGTCAAAGTGTTGTTTTTTCATTTGACCAAATTTGACTTGGTCAAACTTGCTCAAATGAGACACTAAATGACCTCAGATGAAAAAACTCTGAATACCAAGTTTGATCATCTCAGCAAGATATACAATTGTTACATAGCTTATTTTCCCATTTGAGAAAGTTTTATCAAACACTAGTCACAAATTCTTAAATCTCATACAGACTTTCTAAAACTATGTCACACACTTGTGAAATTTGAACTACATTTTGTTCAAACTTTCTCAAAATGAAAAAAATGGCCTATATAAGAATTGTAGATCTTGAATCCATGACCATGACTCCATGAGACCCATGAAGCAATGTGCTTGGCTATTTCTACTCATGCTTGCCAAGATTGGTGCTTATATGATGTTTGATGTATGATGTATCAGTATCTTTATCTTATTTGTTGCTTTACTCTTTTAGTCTTTCGGCTTAATCTAGATGGATTATGGACTCATAGAGTGGTGTAATGGTTTATGCCGATGATGATATATATATATATATATATATATATATATATATATATATATATATATATATATATATATATATATATATATATATATATATATATATATATGCTATATTTTTACTCAATATCCGAATAGATATTTGTATCTGACCTTCTCCGAATCCGATTCATACCGTATTCGATACTCATTATTCGTATCCGTAACCGAGTCAATCCGTATTCGTATATGTATCCGAACGTTATCCGTGTCCGAATCCGAATCCGAATAGAAATATGAAAACAAATATAATATGAGTGATATCCGTTCGTATCCGATCCGTTTTCATCCCTACCTATAACCGAAGGCACACGGATTAGTGGTGCCAATTTCGACTCAACAACGATCAATTCGCCCATTAGCTGGCAGCAACTGATTCTCAGGAGACGTCCAAAGGCACAAAAGGTACGCCGAGCTCTGACCGCTATCAGCCTATCACTGGTCTGCCACTTTTTGCCCGTTCCCGCAGTTAGCTTGCGAGCGCGAATGCGTGCACCGCGGCCCGCAGGAATGCAGTAACAGACTGCTTGCTTGCGGCGGTGATCGTCAATTCGTCATCGACCGCCAAATCCAGAGTGTAGGCTGACCCGCGTCCGCGTAACACTCGTTTCGTGCCCTAGATCAAGCAGCCGCGCTGGATGTACACAGCTACACGCAGCTGACGTAACTCGCAAGCGCCGCGTTCTGGAACAGGCGATGGCCGGCCGGCGTTGAGGTTGAGCGATGAATCACAGAGTCTACGCAAGTCTTGTCTTGCGCTGACTCTGGACCTTACCGAACGGCGAACGATCAGGTCCGGACGTCCAGAAGAACAGCGGAAGGAAAAACGCACACGATTTGTGAGTGGTTTTCTGCCACTGGGCTCGGGGTTTGAACTTTGAACCGATTGATATTTACGCAGGAAAAACTTATTTAACCGGGAGTCTATGTTACCTCCCGAAAATACAAGATAAGACATTTGGCACCTCAATTTTGAAAACCCGTTATTTTTTTTCTTCGTTCTAAATCAACTTTGGTTTTGACGGATGTGGCGTTTTGTCTGATGTACTGGTGATATAGCAGTAGTTCAGCTGATGTTTTTATAGGTGGCCATGGGTTCTCATGTCAATCACGTGTTTTCACATGTCCTGTTTGGATTCTCTGGTCTAAGTTTTTAGTTGTCTAAAGTTGAGGACTAAAACTGTAGCTCATTTTTGTAGTCTAAAGTTTTTATGAAGTTGTCTAAACTAGGGCTCAAATGGTCGAAAGTCCACTAAACTTTAAACCATGAGATCCAAACTGAACCTTCCTATTTTCTATCTTACGCATACGTTTGGAAACTTTCTCAAACAAGTCGTGTCCAACCCTAGAAATGTCGATAAGGACACCATTGACAGCGTATATGGTGTTGTACCGAGGCGCGTAGGTTCTACTCCTAGCGCTTCGATCTACTCCCAGGGATGGCGCTGGATACGAAACCTGGTCTAAAATTGCGCACACAAGAGCCAAACACAAGAGCGGCAAAGAGGGGGCAATCGAGCGCTTTGACCTACTCCACCACCATCGCCTCCCGCGCCTTAGCAAGGGCAATCAAGCAGCCAAACACAAGAGCGACAAAGAGGGGGCAACAATGTACAGTTGCGCACGGGTAGGTGGAGCGAGTAAGCGATAGCGCGGCGACGGGCAGTCGGAGTGAGCGCGGACGGGAAGGGCACCAGAGGAAAATGTGGTCGCAGTGGGAAAACACGAGCCAAGCCTCGCGATATATGATTATCCCCTTCCACTCGCTCGAGGCAACCGAGGAGTCAGACACTTGGTGGGGCTCGCTTGTATGGATTCTTATGCTAGCTGCTCTCATCACAATTAGCGATGATTTATTCTCTCTCCTCCTTCCTCTCTCTTACGTGGACTTATTGACAACACCGTTGCAGGTGTTCTTACCGTGACTGACCTAAGTACTCAGACTAGCCACAGTGGTGTGCATGGACGTCCAAAAACCACCGCAGTCATTCAACATCGATGGGACAAGCTGCACTGGGCGAGCATCGACTGGGACCCATAAAAAATAAAAAAAATTATACCGGGCTTCCCTCCCTCAGCGTCCATGCAGCTAGACTAGATTGAGAATCGAGGAATCAACAGTCATTGATGCCACCATTTTGTTTGAGCATCCCCTTCCATTCTAAACATCAATATCTTGCCACGATGTGGCTAGTCTCATGATTTTGTTTTACCGTTTTACCGTTTAGGAGGAAACCTAGACTCTGAACAAGGTACGTACGGAGTAAATACCTTTTCCTATCTACGTTGAAATACTTCTTCACGAACTAGCAACGAGCCAGCCCAACCTGCGTTTGTGGCTAATGGCCGAATCAGCGCACCCCGGTCCCCGTGGGGTGCGCGGTTTCAGAGCTGGTTGTGCTAGAACCAGGAGTGGTGCATACGCGAGCCTGCCACTGCCAGTGCCAGGTCGGCAACTGTGCGCGCGTGGTCGTCCAGGGACGTGCACGAGACGAGCTGACCTCTACTCAGAATCTCATCAGATGCAGTGCCCGTGCAAATGGAATTCCCGTGCAAATCGTTTGACGCGTCCAGCCTTGAACGCCGTTTTCCGAGGTCGCGTCGCCGGAAGCGTAGCAGAACCTTCCTGCGATAATGCCTTGTGGAGACTGGGCCATTCTTGTATCCCGTGGTGGTGCACGGATCCGTATCGTGCCTTACTTACTGCGCCTTGGGTGTTCTCGTCTCTGACGTACTCCGTACGTACTAGTATCAATCAGTCCCTGGCAAAACGTTAATTCACCACTCCAAGTCGCATTCTACGTTTGTTTCGTTTTTCTTCTTTGGAAGCTGACTTAAAGCAGAAGCAGCTCGTAATTATCCGTACATCTAATGCAGGTTCTCGTTGTTCGTTTGTGTCCACATACAAGGTCACGGTTGAAGTTCCTATCTTTGTCTATTATTATTACTCCTAGACAACAAAATTGGACGCAATCATAGGTGGTACTGTGATTTCGGGCATATTTGGTTACTTTGATTTGCCTGTACAAGCGAGATTTGGCTTGCTCGTGCAAGAGAGCGAAATTTTAAAAATAGTGTCACGTACGTGGCTAGAACCAAATGTGTCCTTTACCTGAGAATGTCTTCCGCCATTTAAGAAACCCAAGAAATAACACAGACGTTCCAGCAGGGATTTACATCTTTCATTAAGTTAGATTGGTAGTTCGCTAAAAAGTCAGGCTGAAAAATACCGTTCGCTGATTTATTATGAGAGAAAAATACTGTAATAAACAAGGCTGATAAGTTAAGCGAATGGGACGACCTGTCCACAGTTCGTGGGTTCCTTCGTCCTTGAGTATCATATATATATATATATTCTGAGAGAGCGAGAGACCGAGATAGTTGATGGAAATTGTACAAGGACATGTTTTAGTTAACAAATTAAATCTCCTTTTTTACGTTATAAAAAAATAGTGTATAAGACACTAAAAACATTACATTATATTGGGTCTCGAGTGTTGCTCGACCAAGTGTGGTCAAGCGTGTGTGCTTCGACTAAAAAGTATAATATAAATCGCCTTCTACGTTAAAAAAACACCAGGGCGAAACCGCGCCACGACTCGATCGGCACTGGGCAGCCAGCAGCGCTCAGCGGCCAGGGCGGGCTCGGGAGAGCGGTTGCTAGCTACGAGCTCGGTGCCGTGCCGGCCAGTGCGAGGCGATGGGGGGAGGAGGCTGGACGTGCTGCTGGGGCGGACGACGAAGCAGACGGCGCGGTTCAAGTCGCTGCTGGGGCTAGCGGTGACGCGGCTCGGCGTGGTGCGGGGCCACCGCCAGGTGCGGTGCGGGAAGGCGCGCGGGGACGTGGAGCAGCTGCTCCGCCTCGGCCACACGGACCGCGCGCTGGCCCGCGCCGAGCACGTCGTCCGGGAGCAGAACGCGCTCGACGTGCTCGCCGAGCTCGAGGCCTACCGCAGCCTCATCGTCGAGAGGGCCGCGCTCGTCGACGCGCACAGGGACTGCCCCGAGGAGCTGCGGGAGGCGGCGGCGGGGCTGGTCTACGCCGCCGCCAGGTGTGGGGACCTCCCGGAGCTGCAGGAGGTCCGGGGCATCCTTGCCAGGGAGTTCGTCTCCGCGGCGTCCAACCTACGCAGCGGATGCGGGATCAACGTCAAGGTGAGGGCCGGGCCGGCGGCGACCCGCGCACTCCCGCTGGCCGACTTCTCAACCTTCGGTTTCTGACTACTATTCTGGCACGGCTTATGTCGGCATTGGATTCATCTATTTTGCGTAAATCGAGCCACTAGTGTGAAGTCGTTTTATAAGTTAGAGTTAAAATGAACTAGAAGCAAAAAAAAAAAAAATCAGTTTTTTTTTGACTCACCGGCTTTGGTTTCACCGATGAAACCGTTTTAGATGAGCCGTACCAAAGGACTTAAACTTTTCTGAACAGATCGTGCAGAAGCTGTCGACCAAACAGCCGAGCCTGGAGAGCCGACAGTTGGTGCTACAGGAGATCGCCGCCGAGAAAGGGATCGCCGTGCGCATCTACGAGCCTCCATGCGATGACTCGGGACGTTCCAACCACAACCGGAAGACGAAGCACGATGACGAGAGGATCCGCAGGACGCCACCAGTTGATGACCGGGACGAAGACATTTCCGTCGACTCGGCACGGAGGTACAAGGACGTGGAAGCGGCAGCTCAGGCCGCGTTCGAGTCGGCCGCCTCTGGCAGCCGCCGCCGCGAAGGCCTCCATGGAGCTCTCGCGGGGGGAGCCCAGGGGGCCCGGTGACAGGAGGAGGATGCAGATGGATCCTGAGATCGAGAAACAAGATGAGGTGCTCGATGGAAAGAAATCTGAGAAGGTTGGGCATGACCGGAATTACAGTTCAGAGGTTGAGATCATGCCGGAGGACGAGGCAAATCATGGCAACGTTGCAGTGACCGAACTGAAACAGCGGGAGCCTGCCAGGGGAAAGCCGGCATCGGTTAGAACAAAGTGGGGATTTTAGCGGAATCCAGATTTCTTGATTTTGTCGATATATATTATTGGAAGTTAATTTTTCACTCTATATATGCAAGTAGTTAGATCTTATGGTATATGCTCATACCATATAGGAGTATATGTAGTTAATGATGGTGAAAAAAGGAAAAAAACTACACATGAGATTTGATTTGTTTCCAATTGTTTGCACACTATATAATGCCTATACTAATGGTATGTTGGTATGCAACGTTACTTGCAGTGCATGTATTTTAGACAAAGATAATACACGTTTTGATAATGCAAATCAAATAATATGTTTGGCCAGAATGAGATTGTTTTACAATATAAGTAAGTAGCAACAATCAAGCAAGCTATGTATGTATCCTTATTAAAGGAGAACAATACTACAATACAGAGCTCATATAATATCAACAATAGCAGGCTTATGTATCCTTGCTAGAATTCTTGACTTTATTGGCCCTCCAAGTTCCAACCTCTGATTGCCTTGGTTTGTAGGTGCGCAGGGATCTTTGATCCTCCTTGGCTAAGCCGATTTGACAAATCGGCCTTGCTGTTTTTTTTGCTATTTAACGCCATGGACCGTAGCAGTAATATCTCCTTTTTGCACTTTGACAGGAGCTTTTCCTGCCCCCCACCCTCCCACCCCCAGAATACTTGATGGTGATTTTAATATTCTCCTGGCCATCCACGGATTTTTCGAGCATGATTTCACGGCCCCAGGTCTTCTTAGTCTTGTCTTCCCTGGAATCACCAATTATCACATTTTTTCCATTAGTAGATTTGGCTTGATTAGGCCGAACCAAAACAGCCGGATTCTTCAATTCCAGAGCATTAACCGGGAAGGGGCATTGTATCCACATGCATCTCAGATAAACTCAATCGGCCTTCATTAATAGCCGATTGGACTTGCCACCGAAAGACATTGCAATCGTTAGTAGCATGAGAAGCCAAATTATGCCGTTTCCAATATGCACGATGCTTCAATTCATCAAGTGGCGGCAACGGATGTGACAATTTAATGTATCCATTCTTCAACATCTCATAAAAAATGCGACCACACTTGAGCACATCAATTGTAAATTTCATCTCCTCTTGCTGATAGGAATTGATCTAGCTTGTGCTGGCCAAACAAATTCAGCAACAAAACAATTTGAAGTTTCATCGTCCGAGCCATTTGAACGGCATTCAATAGCGTGCATGTTGGGAAAATGTGGCTTCCGAGGTTGTACAAAATTACCTTGGCTCTCAACCGCCGAAGCTTTTTGCAACAATTGATTAACAGAGAGAAACTCAAAATACTCTATTAGAGCGCAAGCCAAAAAAAAAAGCTAAATCAGCAAGATCTTTTTTCTAAAATTATCAAATTAAAACATCGTTTTTAATATCTCTAAATCTTTTAACAAAATTAAGGATAGACTCGTCACGCCCTTGCTTAACCGATATCAAATTAGACAATTTAAGCTTACCGGTTCCATTATAAAAGTGTTCATGAAACTTGTCTTCTAGTTGTGGCCAAGAACCAGCAGAGCAAGATTGTAGTGAGGTGAAGAATACCAAAAAAAAACAGTACCAATAAGAGATAACGAAAAGTTATGAATCCTTATATGTTCCATGATACCGGCTTCACCCAATTGAGCAATAAACATGCTAATACGCTCCTTTGTGGTTTTATTATCTTTACCGCTGAGTTTATAAAAGCCTGCCACTTTCCAACCATCGGGAACTTTCATCTCTACTCCTAAAAAGCAATAAAAACAATTGTTCACCTGGCAGACTCATCACCCTCTCGCTCCGTAAAGTTTTGGTGTGCCATTAAAAAATACCGTAATGCCCTGTGTGCCCCTGTAAAAGTTCAGCGGTCTTTAGCGTCACTGCTCCAACTTTTTTATGCCCTCCATGCCACTGCCATCAGTTCCGAAGGATGCCGGCGCCGCCCCCTCTCACGTCCGAATTCGTGGGGATGGCGAGCTATGCTCCCACCTGTTTCCTCGACCTCATGGATGACGATGTTGAGAGTGACGGCTCCAGCATCGGCGACGTGGCGCCTAGCCACCGTCCGTCCCGGGAGTGCGCTATGGCGGACGCTCCGGGACAGCCACCGGTGGTAACGGAGTCCTTGCAGACTCACACCCCTCCGGACCTTCGTGCGGAGACCCCCGCGCTCACACGGGAGCACGGCGAGGAGCTACGACAACAGTGGCTGAACCAGCCGCCGACTGCGCTCGTCGGGTCCAGCGCAACACCATGGACAGGGGGAACGATCCCCCATAGTTCGCTCGGGCCAATCAGAACATTGCCGCAGCGGCAATGCTTCTGCGTGGCCTTCCCGAGCCGAACGACCCTCAGGAACAGGCGATCCACCGGAACCTCCGGGGACTAGTGGAGACCGCCGCCGTTCAACAGGCGGAGAGCTCCGCATCGCGACACCGACTCGTGGCCTCTCTCCCCACCAGGGGAGTGGGGACGCGCCAGACGAATCGCTCCACCGCTCACCGCTACAGCCGCGAGCGCAGCACAGGAGGCCGCATCTGCGCCTTGTCTTGACTTGGCAACCGCTCCGCACCGACCGCCTGTACACGAGCGGCTCGGGCCGAACCGAGATGCTCACAGCAGCGATCGGAGTCCCAGCCCAGATGGCCCGGAACCACGGGCCTTTGTCCTACGCATCCAGAGAGCGCCGCTCCCGCAGCGCTCCAACGAAGGCCGAGGCAAAGGCAAGGCCAAGCGCCAGGATCAGGACAAGAGCCCCTCCATGCAGAGGGGGAAAAAGAACAGAAAAGATCACCGCCGACCGGCCAACTCCGCGTTGGTCGCCACGGCTGATCACACGGGCAAGCAGCCCCAGCAGGACCTTCCGGGCCACTTCCACGAGCTCATGGAGAGCCCTGCACCAACCACGCCTACCCCGTCAAACACCTCTACAAGGACTGCGAGCTCCTCAAGCGCCTTCTGCAACAGGCCGACAGGCCGAAGGAAGAAAAAGGCGAAGAAGCAGCGGCCAAGAAAGGGGGCGTAGCGGGCAAGGATCCGGACGACTGAAGGTCGAGGTGATCCGATCGGACGCCTACCGACTGAAGGACGACAACGACGACATTCTCACCAACGCTTGGAACAGCTATGTCGTTTCTTCCCCTAAAAATTCAGTCTTACCATTGTTTACTTAATGTTTGCTCCTATAAAAGCGCCCCGACCCGAACAATTTCGGCTCGGGTCGCTCGAGGGCTCCGCGAGGGTGCACTACTACCTCTCTTTTCGTTTACTATCATATGATGAAACTCCTTCCTACCCGAACAAAAGGGTAGTTCGTTCTTTTAAATTACCTTATGTAGCTTTGCTTTAAAATATTCCGACTGATCGCATCCCACCTCTACCTACGGTTACGAGCAGCTGAGCCTCGCGGGCCACGCCACGGGCTCCTAAGGTTGCAGCCTACGGGATGAACGAGCAAGTACAAAAAAGAAAGAATAAAAAACAAAATTATGCTAAGGTAAAAACTAAGGAACGGATGGGACAAGCTTCCCCGAACGGAGTGACCCCATCACAAAAAACGAAACCGATTGTAGTCATTGAGTACACAAGAACGCTTACACGGGGGCTCCCCCATGAACTTAACTTTTTACATTCGCTAAACTGTTTATACTTTACAAGCTATTGAGACTGCCCGGCGGCATCTGTTGTCGGTGCGACCGGCGAAGGCACGGGCTTCTCACTCCCCGGCGGGACGACATTCGGCTCGGTTGAAGGCGGGGCGATGTCCACTTCTGACCTAGGCTCCGTGCCATCTGTAGGCTAGGCGATGTCCCCCCGACGCACGCTTCTGGCCATGTCCTCACGGCGGGCATCCATCACCCACTGCGCAGAGACTTGCTCTGCCACCAACCTTGCGTGCGGCAGCAAGCTCTCCCCGAGCAATTGGATGTCCTCCGTGCTCAAGCCGTCGGCATACCCGCTGCAGATAGTGGCGAAGTCTAGGTTCGGGTGGTACGTCGCCACCGAAGTTAACACCCCCGACGCTTCGTAGAACAACCTGTGTGTGATGAGGGCCCAAACTTCATCCAGGACCTCCGCCAGCTGGATGGCGGGCGCGCTAGTACTTGGCGCCGACCCGAAGACCTCCGAGACGATGAGCTGGGCAACATTGTGGATCTGGTCAAGTTCCCCCTTGAGAGCACGTTGCTCCTCAAGGGACTTGGCCAGCGCCTTCGTATTCCGGCCAAACGTCGCCTTAACCGTCTCCAGGTCCTGCTCCAACAACTTTACCTTTCCGCCCAGCTCTAGAAGAGGGGCGACAAGCTTAGAAACAAGCTAAAGGAAGAAACCAACACGACAAAAAATAGAGAAGGTACGTACCGAGGCAGAAGTTCTCGAGGGTGGAGAGTCCCTCCGCCTGCCGGGCCACCAGCTCGCACAGCCGGGCGTTCGCCTCCTCCGTCCCCATCACCCGGCCCCGGAGCGCAAGCACTTCCTGGTCTGCCTCCAACCGGGCGTTTCGCTCCAACTCTAGGGACTTTCGTGCCAACTCTAGGGCATTCCGCTCCGACTCCAGCATGTTCCGCTCCGACTCAAGGGTCTCTAGGGATTTTTGGAGCGCCGCCTCGGTGTTCGACAGGGATTTCTGTAGCCCTGCCTCGGTCTCCGCTTGGCGGGCCTTCGCCGCCTCAAGCCCCCGCTCGGCAGCAGTCGTTCGCTTCGTCGCACGCTGCTCCTCTGCCCGCACCGTTGTCACCTCGGTCACCCGGACCTAGGACTCGCGGCGGGCGGACTCCAGCTGACGCTCAAGCTCG